AAGAAATAAAAGGCATGTCAGGAAATAATTGATAAGAGGCACACAGGCTGACGTCTCCGACATCTCATCACACTTCATACACCACTCAAATTGGAGGGGTTTTCTCTCACGAATCGTTGCCAATTTCCGGTATGCCTACCCTACAAACGTCTAGAAGGAATCATGCTGAAGTAACGAAGACAAGGGCGTTCACATTTTATGTCATGAGTAACACGAACCGTTCTTACAGGCAATTGCTTCCTTCTGTTGTTCAAGGCCTCGAAGGTGAAGCGGGATCTACTTGTGTGCCCACGATTTCTCAGCGTTGCCAACCGCTACTGGCTTCGTAAAGGCTGCGTCAGACGAGGCAGTGGCTCGCGAGTGCTGGCAATGGTCCATTGTCGGCCGTCGCGTTGCTTCTGATTATCTTGTCTGTCAAGAGCTTAATGTTCACGTCCTCGCATTTAGACTGTGGGAGAGGCAAGCCAAGGAGGAAACACTCGAATCCGCAGTAATTTCAAGCCTGGCTGACTCTGAGACGTGGCGTAACGTGCTTTTAATGACAGATCACGGTGACGTCATTGATGACAGCCTTCGAGCAATCGATTTCTCTCTCCTTACCTGGGGAAAAAAAAAGCTTTTAGAAGGCCCTCAACATGGAGGACTCGACTAAATGAGTACCAATAACCTGCACGATCTAAAGATGGTTCTGCCGCATTGACGAGTCTCCGTTGACTCCTTGTTAAGGAAAGGCTTATGGTTTATATCACATCAGTACAGCAAGCAAAAGCAAGACGAACTAATTAAATTCCAACACTCGACGGAGTTATCCGAGCTCAGTTTCCAGTTCGCTAGTAAACGTATACCGTCGCGTACAATAATATCAAAACAGCTTATTTTTGTTTCTATAATCTTCATTATGCGCGGAATTTCATGAAGTTAAGATGTCTGCGCATCCTCTTTATTTCAGCTAAAGTGCTTTAAAAAAAAAGTTTTTATATTGCGAACAGAGAGTTCGCATCACTCCTGACGCTGACGCAGCAAAGCTTTTCTTCACGGCTGTTCATATGAGGTGGTGAAACATTGTTTGGATTCAACCCATTCCCCGTCAATCACATCCATGCATATTAGTTAACCAAAACTAACTCCCCCACAGGTTCTTTACATCATGTATCTAGGTGATGGTGGGGCACGTGTTCCACGACCCACGTCCACCGTCGAACGTTAGGCCTCAGGAGCTGAGATTTCCCAAGACCTGCTAAAGGACGGAATCCGCGTGGGTAGCCATTTTGCATCAATGTGGACCGTTTTTTTTACATGCCGCAAGAATCCCGCAGATCTTGTTGCAGTGATGAAATAAGACACGCCCATAAAGACAGCGGAAGGGCTTCAGATATGACGCATTGAATGACATGCAGCCCCACGTGGCTCCTCGTGCGGGACAACATTAGGCTTCCTTCCCCCCCCCCCCCCCCAACCCCCCACCGATCCCCACAAGCTGCATACAAGATATCAATTGACTGTTCGATTTCCCCATCCACCTACATTTGCTTCCAGAACTCATGTGTGGCTTCGTTTTTTTCACGGTGGAGAAAGCAAAATACATTTGACTCAAAATATATTTGACTCAACGAAGTCTCCGCAATTCACTCTTAAACCTTGTTAAGACCAACAAATGATACAACTCTTTTCTGTATAAATCATCCCAGCCCTACGTTCCTACCTCACGTTGGAGTATAGGAGAGGAGCAGGAAGGAATGCAAAGAGCAAAGAGCATATCAATCTGATGAAACACAGGGATTCAAAGTATGAAAGGCTTGCACACATTGAGTTTCAGTCCTATCGGGAAAGGAAATCATGTCGACAATAAATAGGCTTCTCTGTGACTGTATGATAGGCTGGCACATCGAACCTCTTTCTTGACATCTAGGGATGCCCGGAAAACACAATATGTAAATTTGATGGAAACGTAATGGAAACGTCCATCGATACTATACATATCGATGGACTGAATAAAAAGTTCCGTAGCGCTCCCCCCCCCCTTCCTATCCATCGATAAAACGCCGTGGCAGATGTTACCCGTTAGTAGTTCGACGCCCTGACTAGAACGGGCGGTATCACTTCATCTGTCTTAGTTCCAAAATGTTTCCCTCGATAATCTCGTAGCATGCGCATACCGATCGGACGGAGAGAGTTCAGGCCAAGATGGAGAGTAATGAACTCGGCACGCGTTTCTTTTTTTTAATGAGCGTGAAGATGACGAGATTTCAATACTTCCCCGAAAGACATCTAGAGAGAGCTGGAAAGGGGGACCAGCACAGGAATCACAGGTATGATTCCATCCCTCTTCTGGACGAAATGCTTCTCGATAAAGCATGCCTTGGAAGACATCCGCTAAATTCTTCTGCTTGTCCACTTCCTGTCAAATCCAGCTGCAAATCGCCCAGCTCATGGGTTACTGTGATTTCCTTTCCTCGTGTTTCCTGTGATTACAGACAGGACGAGTACTTCGTTACTCTCAGTAGGAAGGAAGGAAACTGGACGAGATAACCATGCAAAGCTGCCCTACGTCTAATCCACAAGGGAAAGTAATGGATCGACCGCGAGAGCAGGGTGCGAAGTCGGTCTTGTAATTGCATTATATCTATCAACACGCACGCACGCACGCTGCATCAGCGATCGGTCCGTGACGGCCGATAGGGATCGAGTCCCAGTCGTTGACGTTTTCCCCAGCTGTTCTTCGGGCCGATTGTTCACCGGGCCATGACGGGAATTCTCACTGCTTTCCAAGACTAAACCAACAGGGCTCACTTAGCTCAAAGACTTAGGAGTAAGGATTCCCTGCGATCCGATAAGAAGGATACGGCCGGACAGACGAAAGTGTTTAAAAGAGTGGAAACGAAGATAGTTTTTTTTTTTCCGGGTACACTATATTAGTGTTGCACGTTTGACTAAGGACATTGAGGATGAGTAGAGTCGTTTCATTTGTAATTCGTGAATGTAAGCTTACTAGAATTAGTTTGAGGCCAAGCAGACCACATCAGCTTGGATTTCATGAGCATATTTAAAAGAAATGAAGTTCCCTATTTCGAAACATCTGTTGATTAAAGCTCTCGTTGTTTCGACACGTGGAACCCAATTCTCCCTTTTTTAAATGTAACTGTGAAAGTAGCATAAACACATACATTACAAGAAATGTAAGAAATACAAAATATGCGCTACAAGAAATTAATCTTACGTATCCATCCTGAGATCCAATCACGATTTCGTATACAATAATCATTGGCTGCCATTTATCCGTGGAATTTCTTTGTCCATTCTCATCGAATTCCTCTATGGAAAGATTCAAAATGTCATCGTAGTGTAATGTACGGTGGGGAAATGAGAAGACTTAGGCTCATTATAACATTGACTCTAAAGCAGTGATTCTCAACCGATGGCTCGCGAGAGAAGGAAGTGAACTAAAAGTAAAATATATAGAAAGTTAGAGAGGGGTTAGAGAAGACAAGGGATGAATCATAAGCACCAAACCGAACTACAGGGCAATATTGCATGAGCTAAACTTTCCAAGAACGATCTAATCTACTACATAATCCAGATTAGATTTCCTGGGGTTTCTGACAAACAATTCCAAGAAATGGCAAAGAGCAGCAAAATGTCTTTTACATCATTAATGCTCCCCCTAACATTCATCTCTAGTCCTTGTTCTTTCAAGCATTCTCACCGGTTCCTCGTTGCTGTGGGTGGGGGTAACGCTGTTTTTTGTGGGCAGAAGCCGGAGTTTATTTTCTCGATTTCGTTTTTCTGCTGCCAAGTGATATATTTCCTCCTCTATTTTTTTTGGGAGGGGAAACTTTAGGAAATTCACATCATACATAATCTTCTCTAGCTACTTATTTAGGTTTAACATTGTAATGCAGGTGGATCGTTTCCTGAATAAACCGAGTGCAAGCGCTGGCACTAATGGCAGTATCCCGGTGGAGTCATTGGGACAGAAGTCGGCCATCCTCCAACAAAAAATTCAAAACTACTAGGTTGGCCAAAAAGTTCTGCAACACTTGCAAAAAAGTTGATTTTTATGCACATTTTTATTAATTTTTTGTGCGTTTTATGCACAATTTTTTTTGTTTTTGTGTTTATCGTGTTCCGGGTTCATCTTTATCCTCAAAGTTTCAGATGGTGTGGTCACCAATTTGAGTCATTTGATAAAGTTGAGGAAGCGTGCCAGGAGTTCTTCGATTCGAAGCTGGCAGAATGGTACTTCAATCAAATCCGGATGCTTGCAGATCGGTGGCAAAAGATTGTTGAAAACGATGGCCTTTATTTTGAAGAGTAGTTGTTATTGTTTTTAAATAAATTTGCGCATAAAAATAAACTTTTTCGCAAGTGTTGCAGAACTTTTTGGCCAACCTACTCCAACATTATCAACTACAACAGGTAGGGAGGGAAGCACAATTAGAAATTGATTCTCTTCTTACCATACCATACTAGGTCATATTTAGAGCTAAAAAAAAACTCAAAACAGTAGAACTCCAATATGGCAAGTACATAGGGGGGTTAGATGATCGTGTATGGAAAAATTCCATGCTGACTACCCTCCCAGAAAAGAAAGAAAGAAAAAGAAAAACCAGCCTGGTCAAAGCCAGTCTCAAGTTCTCTCTCTTTCCTACTGCCCTTCTTCCTTCTATTTTGTAATCTTGGAGCAACAACAAGCTAAAATGTGAAGCAGAAATTGAAGTCTCTCAAGACATGAGAGTGCTAACATTTTTACCTCATTATTAATGACCATAATCCTCAGTGGAACACATTTCTCGTGGGAATGTGGCAACAGTGGAAAGAACTGCAGATTATTTCTGAGTAGAAAATAGCAATACTACATATCAGACTGTTCTCTTTGTGGAATGAATAGGCAAGTTTACTTCAGCCAAACATGACATAGAGGCAAGCAAACAGAAAAATTGCATTCATTGAATTGTGGCAAACCTGGAGGACTGAGAGAGAGACCAATAAACATAAGGTGACTAACCAGTGAGTTCTTGACTGAGTTGAGCCCCCTGAAGATGACCTTTTGCTATAGCACCAGTTTCCAATTTGTACGTGTCTTGCAGCCTTATCAATGCGATGGCAGCTCCACTTAAGTCTTCATCATCAGGGAACCTTAGCACCTCACTGCCTGTGATGTTCTGCACAAAGGCTATAATAAAAAGCAACAAACATGATGTCCTTTTTAATGAAAATATAGATGACACTATTGACGACCTTATTGATATTGATGACCTTATTGACACCTTCCCTCTTGCAGAGTGGCAAAAATTGGCACTGAAGATATGAAATGACCCAAGAAGCAGAAGAAGCACAAGATCTGCCATTATGACAAATGTGCATGAAAGTATACAGGACCAAGTAGCTCCAAGAAAAAAATAGCTGAGTTATCACATCGGGAGCTTGTAATTTGAGTGATGCTACAGGAGCAATCAATTGTTATTGAGAACAGGAAAGTGGAAGTTCAGTCTTAAGACCTATGATGCACCACTGTCATCTCATAGCTCACTGTCCTCACCAATGAAATTACATGAGTGCATCTTATTTACTATGGCTGTAGCAATCAAATGAGAAACAGTGTATTCTCTAACCTATATATACAGTATATGGCAAAAAAAAGAGACCAATGAGATTTGACCAATATCTCTCTACTAACACAGGAACTATTTTCATTGAGTATAGATGGACATTTTAATAGCATACTTTCCAAATTACAACCAAATATGTATTGCTGCAAAGAAAGGCAATGAACTATCACAGAAAGAAGTTAAATAATGCAATGGACAAGGGCTAATGGTGGTAAGGGAATTGGGGATATGCCTGAGGACTCTGCCTGCATATCTTTCAAGCTTTCAAATGGTTTTGAGCACTGAATAAAATATTACAATCCAACCTAAGATGCATAAAAATCTACAGGTGACTTATCCCCCCCATCCCATCCCAACGACACCAAAGCCCTTTCTTTTTCCTTGCTGCTGGATGAACTTATTTTCATAGTAAAGCAAAACAGATTTTTCCCCTCCATTTCTAAAAAGTTGTTGGTCACTTACTGAAAAAATCTACTTTGGAGGCCTATTTATAGAAATATCAACAAGTAGAGATCATGTTCTTTCAGGTCCTTAATATGCCCTTAATGGGGCATATGAGTACTTCTGAAAACAACGTGAGTTTTTCTTTTAAATGAGGGTGAAGAGTAATATTTGGTGCAATTATTTCTTACTCATGAAGATTGACCATAAAACAAATTTACTGAATACCAATTTTGGTGGAATAAGAACAATGGATAAGTTTTTTCAACCATCTGGGTTTTTAATAGAATGGAATTATAGTTATAGAGGACTCACATTGGCCAACATTTTCAGACATGACTGACTCCACAGCCCTCCAATCCTTTGTCAGCCTCTTGACTAGTAGATAAGCATTGACAGGATTGGCAAGGAAATCTTGAGCATTCTTGCTCGCTTCTTCATGTAGAGTCTGATAGTGCATAAGAAACCTGAAAAAGCAAATATCATGCATATCTCAAAAACTACAGCAAGATGAAAAACTCATAACATGGAACACAAGGAAAAGGTGAAATGTAAGGAGCTGTTACTCTGTAACAAAAGCATTACTGCTAGAAAAGCCAAGAAAAGTGAGAGACTGATGTATGATTAGATTTTAACAGGTGCAGATTTATATCAGGCACCTGCTCCAAGAAATCCAAGAAATCACACAAGAGGAATGAAACAATTGAATTCTGGAAATATGCCAAACCTTTTCACCCGATGAAGCTTCTCTTCCTCTGCTTGGAGATAGGCATTGATGTTGTTGATGAGCTCCCTTTCAGTTACAAGGAGACCTTCTAGGTCAACAAGAGCTGTGAATAGTTCACCTCGGACAACTTGCATCCAAGTTGCACAGATGATAAGCCATAAAGAACTCAACATTTTAAAATTTTGTCAGGAAATCACAGATTAACATATGATGTTTGATATGAAGAAATATTGCACCTTGCCTTGTCACTTTCTCATATTTTTATGACAATGAAACATCACTGATTTCACATTCTCGAGTTCAAGAAGATCTGGAAGGATAAAATCTTAAATATAAGATATGTCTCTAATAAGATCTTGATTTTAAAACTCCTGACCAAATAAGGTTTCAAGTTCTTGCATATAGTGCACACCAGTAAAATATGCCATGGGAAATTTGAAGCTAAATAAACATTAGTGATTTCCTGTTTCAAGTATGAAAATGTAAGTTAGATAGATAGCAAGATATTCCCATGGACTCACTTCCTGATGGGTTTGTAACATTGAAAACCTTGAGAGATAATGTTGACAAAAATTGTTGGAGATTTTTACCAGTTCTGTGGTACATTCAGAATGACTAAATATACTTTTGGATTGACTTTACATTTTTTTAAATTATTATTGAGCATTCCAGATTGCATTAGAGTAACAAATATATTAAGTAGACATTGAAGCACATTTAACCAGTAAAATGCAAAAATCTATGAGGAAATGAAAAATCAATCCTGGTTTTTCTCAAAACACAACAGGCATCATATTTAATGCAACTTTCATGCACTTTCTTAGAATCTGCATGAGTTTGAATCATTACATTTTAGTTCACTGAGCATAGAGAGATGGTGCCTTATATAGCTATTCATCTGACAAGGATGTATAGACTTGGAAATGTCAAACTAAGGCCTCTATTTAAGTTTCTAGCTTTGGTGGCTTAACTTTGCTGTCTCTACTTTCTGCTTAACCAGTCCATCCTCCTGCTGGTGGTTGATGATACTTCAGGCCCAAGATTGACTAGCTCCTTCATAGCTGTGCATCTCTGCCTGACAGCACCCCCCCCCCCCCCCCTTCTCAGTATTGCTACCCTTTTGTAATGTTCTAATTCAATCCAATTCCAATGACTCTAACACAGTGGTCCAAAGATTTTCCTAGCAATTGACATATAAAAACTTCACCAGGGAAAAACCAAAGTGACAAACACCTCAAATAGCTTGAGTTTGGTGCATTGCATGAGTCCTGGACTCATGCAAAGAAATAATACTCCAAAATTTACCAAAGGCCTAGATGTAAGATTCTATGGTACATCAATGTTAGTCTGAGCTAGCTTAGTTTAAGCTAAAAACTAATGTTGACCGTCAATTTAGAAGCAGAGGACTGATATTAACTTAAAGCAAATATTGCAGGAAGGCAGTTTCAGTTTATTTTGGCAAGTAAAGCGGTGGACACTATGACAGCCAGGAAAGATGGAAGGGAATACATAAGGAACAAAGCATAACAAAAGGAAATAAGGCAGAACTAGGAAATAAATAACAAAACACAGGAGCAAAGACAGGGAAGATGCAAGAACTAGACATTCGTTTGAAGTTGAGTGTTTCGAGGTTTCTGTTGTTGATGGTTAAGTGGCCCAGAACAGAGTGGTTGGGTTCTGAGGAATGGAGGTTATTAATGCAATGGGTTAATGAAAGATATTTACGACGGTTTTGGATGGACATGAGATTTAATGTTTGCAGACGAACGGAGAGCAGAGATTAAGTTAAGAGAGATTAAGAGATAAAGTTAAATTAGGTCTCAGTTATGGATGCAAACTACAAATGTTAGCTGTTTCCCATTCTATCAATACGTATATTTGTGAAAACAACAAGGAATATAAGGGGAAATTCCTTGTATTCACTCACCACCTGACACCACTCAACAGTGGCACCGTGCAGTTGTTACTGCAGCAAGTCCGAGCTATAAGGGCGAGGCACGTGGAAAAACATTAGGTTTCGGTCCCATTGTAGATCTTGGGACGGGAGGAACCGTGTGGATTGCGAGCTCACATTGAAATACAGACTTTCCGAACCTGCTTTTTTGGGCAGGGGAGGTAGTCTAGTGGTTTCAGTGTTGGACTCGCAATCTGCTAGGCGCTTATATGTATACATATATATATATATATATATATTTTTTTTTTTTACCAAAGGAGCATAAAGGCAAGTATCACATGGAGTAACACTTTGGATGAATACAATCAGCATTCCCCTTCCCTTCAGTCATGTTTCATCCATTCATTGAGTGAGACTATTGTACAGGGTGGCCCATTTAAAAGTGGACCCTGTATCATATCACCTGCAACACGCACTCATTCACTTCCAATAACCTTCGCTGCCACTAATGAGTGCCAAGCGGGTCCACTTTTAAATGGGCCACTCTGTATAGCATTATGAATTGAATTAAATAGGATATGCTGTCCAAGGAAACCAAATGTCATGAAACCAGCAATTAATTCATGAGTTAAGTGGTCTTATTCTGAGCATGTTCTCAGAAGCAAGCTTTGCTTTGCTTAGATCCTACTTTTGTCATAACAACATCCCTTTCTATTTTAGTGTGGGAAAAATGACACTTCTTCATGGACAATGATAACATGAATAAAGCGAATGTGTTGGGAAACCAAAGGTTCGGTTTTGACTGGGTAATGGTGACAGGAGTTACCTTCACTAACAGGTTAGAGGAGTGTGAGTAATATGTAAAGCTCTTGAGTGAAGTTCACCATCTATTATCACAACGCATGTGCGTCATGATACAAATAAGAACGGTTAGATTTTGTGCATGCCTGCCAATGTCGAGTACACTTTCATTGACCACCTGGGTCTCATCAAACCCAGAATTACAGAAGGAAGGCAGAAGAGACAGGTACACGCATTCGAAAGATGAAAAACCACTTCCTTATTGTGAAGAGCGAAGTAAAAATTCTCCAGCGTGACCTTCGTCAGTGTAACAAGCTTAAACATAGATGGTAGGCCTACAGGAGAGTCAGAAGACCAATACTATCTTTGAACATGGGGAGAAGGTGTCGTCACAGCGAACGGACATGGTCTCTTTCCTGGCACCCGGCCAGGAAGCAGGGTTGTCACATCCCACCTGGAACAACGTCCAAGCCACCCATTCACACGTTTAGGAACGTTATAGATCCCGCTGCGTTAAGATTACAATTGACTATGGGGCATTGGAAGTCTTTTCCAGCTACTCGAGAAACGCAGGTTATGAGATGGATGAAATTGGGATGTGACCGCTGAACGCAATTGGACCAGCTTACGAAAATTCCTCAGGCTGTTCGTGGTCCGCTGTGGTCGGTGAACTGCGAAAAGCACTTCCATCTCTGATAGAAGCAGAAGGGCTTTTCACTCGAGAGATGATGGAGTTTAATAGCCTGACGATGTACATATGCATATAGATGCGCATATTTGACACGTCCTATTGTGACACAAGGGCTAGTCGTGACTTAAGGGTCGGCCCCAAAGGAGTGAGGAGTTATTTTCATATATAGGTCATATCTCGTTACAACGAAAATCTCACTATAACGAAAATATTTACAAGCCCTGGCCGATGACCCATAGTAATAGTACTTTGTAGATCTCGTTACAACGAAATTCGTTACTACGAATAATTCAGTACATCAAACGCTTTTTCCCAGTCCTTGTACGTATAATAGTCACTCGTTATAATGAAAGAATATCTAACACATGATTGTTTATGAAGAGACGATCGTCTGTGGTTCGCGACAGCCCCCTCCTTCCCTCTGGACCTTGAGAGAGTCAGAATTCTCTCTTTCCCACGCTTATGGCATAAAAAGTGTTAGCGCAAGGAGGAACGTACAGTAGTCGGCGCTGGCCAGTCGTGGCCGAAACCTCATCACTTGCAATACAGTGTACCTGTGCACCCCATCCCGCAGACATGGCTAACAAGGGGAACGAGAAACGCCGGCAGTTTTCGTAAGAAAAAAATGAAAGTAGTTGAAGCAGTAGATTCCGGCTGGAAAAAAGGAGACGTGGCAAAAGAATTCGGCATCACTCTCTCTACGTTGACCACGTTCTTGAAGGATCGTGCCAAATTTGCAGAAAAGGTGAGGAAAGTGGCTCTGAGACCAAGACGAAAGAGAATGCGTGGTATGCTCTACGATGACATTGACAACGCAACACAACATCTTGTGCAATCCAAAATGACAGATTTTCCCCAAACAAAATAAAGTGGAAAAATACTGCATCTGTGGTCTGTACGTTGGAAGGCATAGTGAATTTAAATAAAGAATGTTTCTTTTGAACTTATTTCGAGCAATATTTGATACAACGAAATAATCTGGACACCCCCTTGAAGTTCGTTGTAACGAGATTTGACCTGTATATTGATGACGCCAACTCGTGATATCATCGTCGTCATCTCACCTTCCCACCGAACACTCGAACCGCGACTCTTGGGTTTTGACCCGAGTCGCAACGTGATGCTCCCACTATCGAAACCCCATAGGGTGGAGAGTCATGAGACGAGTCTCAAACGGCAGCCAGCATGACTGCAACATGCCATGTGGGTTGTGCCGGCCCATACTGAACCGTCAGAATGATATGGTTTGACTTTAGCTCTTGGAGCAGACTTTTGTGCTTCTTCCACCTCATAAGCAAGATTTCACGGTCACAAGGAAACTTAAAATCCTTGGACATAGGTTTGTAAGCTTGGCAAACCTGGAAGGCCACAGTGATGAGCAAATTAATTCGTACCTCCTTTCAAATTGTGCAGCGTTATTTATGTAGTGCATAGGAGGTGAGGGTGTATCTTCTCCGATATGAAGCCTTTGGAGCCCATGCTTGAGGTCGCATGAACTCTTTTACAAATAACAACGCTGGGATTCACGACGCCCCGTCCGACTTCGCTTGAAAGCGACCGAATCTGCTCCGCAGGAGACTGGAAGAAAGCATTCGCAGTGGAATTTGCTCGATGGAACCACCTTCTCGAAACGCACGGAATCCCTTTCACGTTTGACTCGGTTCGCCTGATGGTTGTGAAATTCGTCGCGATAACACTGGCTCGCCCTGAGAACGCCGAGAATTTCCAAGGTTCGAAGTTCGGATGGGGGCGTGAAGAGGCACTTCCGCTCATCGTGACGTCTCGCGTCAAGGTCCAGCGTTCATGCCCTGTACAGGTACAGTGACAGGCTGAACCCTCATAAAGATAGATATTTTGTGGTAGCATATCCACGCAATCGTGAGGGAATTATTTCCAACTCTCTCCGATTGGTGTCTCGTTTCAAGAGTGGTGACACCACGTT